ACACATTTCATTACACCAAATACACAAAATAATGTTCTTTTTAGCAACATCATATGACCCCTTTAAAGAAAACTTAGAGATGGGCTGCTTCTCGTGCTTGGATTTGTAGCCAACTTCAATAATGAGGTCCAAGAATATGCTAGAAGTTAATTATTTTTTTAATGTATTTTTTTCTCTCTCTCTATTTAACTGCATTACAATGAAAGACGCCTTCCCTCGGGTAGATTGAATGTTGGGCTCCACACGGATATTACTCTGATATAACAATGCAAACATGGTTCATGATGAAATTTCTTGAGTACTCATAATTAAAATTGCTTACAAACATAGAAAAATCTAAAAATGCAGACATTTTTGTTTGATGGATAGGTGTACAGTTTTTACAGTAAAAAATCATTACACCTACGGAGTGTCCCCACAAACCAGATGTGTGTGTGGTTCATCTACCCCTTGCTGTGTAGTAATACATCAATGATTGACATGAGCGAAATTTGTCCCCTTGAGCATAACAGGTTTTTAAATGATAAATTATGCTAAATGATGTTTTTGAAAATATCAAAATGCAGAAAGTTTACGGTGATGGATAGGTTTAGGGCTTGACGCAGCATTAAAATCATTAGGTCTATGGAAAGCCTTCATAAAACATGGAACATAGAACTTTTTCTTACATGACTGTTACGACCCACTCGTTTAAGGTTGCAACATAAAAGAGGGATCAGACAACAAAGTCTAATCAAAGCAAATGGTTTTATTACATTAAACTATTACAACAACAATTAATAATGACAAAAAAAATAATCTAGGGGTATTAATGAAAATAATTAAATTAATATAACAACAACAAAACTTTAGCTACATAATAAAGAAATGCCAATGTGAGAGAGAGAGTAAGAGAGAGAGAAAGCATAGTTGGGGCCCACAATATGCTTTGGTCTCTTAAAATGGTTTATTTTTTTATTTATTTTGATTTTGTTTGTTCATCATTAGAATCTTCTTTTTCTCACATCCCGTAGAGAGAGAGAGGGGGAGAGACCACAACACACCCTGTGACGGAATGTGGCCGGATGCCCGCATGTGGTCAACAGATAACGCCAGATGTGAGAGTTAAAAATGCATCTCAGGACATCATTTATGACCTGTCACTGTTCGAAATTGATCAGTCTTCATATTGATCCCCGGAGGATATGCAAGATCGCTGAGTCAATGCCGGAAGTCTAATTATGCTAAAAAAATATGACATACTGACATCTGGAGATTATTAATAGGTCAAAGGTGAACGGGACGCAGGGGTCCTGAGGTGAGAGGTCAGAGGTCGTCGTCAATTAAAAATGTTGTCATTTAGTGGTCCCCTATTTACTACACACGTCTTCTACACACTTCTTGGTGTCCGAGTAGGCTTCAGTGTCATCATCAGAAGCAGCCCGGAACAACTCCCAGTTAACGCGTTCAAAACAATCCTGTAGTAAATTCATGTTGCATGATAAAATTTTAGTAAAATATAAACTAAACTACCTGCTTAAATCCTGCAGAATATGAGTCTTATTAACACCAAGAAGAAGCTTGAGGCTGATCTGCTCCAGGTTCAAGGTGAGGTGGATGATACAGTCCAAGAGGCCAGAAATGCAGAGGAGAAGGCCAAGAAGGCCATCACTGATGTGGGGGTTTGGAGCAAATTCAGGTTACATGATAACAGAGTTTTAGTTAAATGTACACTAAACTACCTGCTTAAATCCTGCAGAATACAAGTCTTATTAACACCAAGAAGAAGCTTGAGGCTGATCTGCTCCAAGTTCAAGGTGAGGTGGATGATGTAGTCCAGGAGGCCAGAAATGCAGAGGAGAAGGCCAAGAAGGCCATCACTGATGTGAGTTTTTGCATTCTGTTGCTCTATTCTAATTTAAACAGTTATTTGACTTTGTTTAGCTGCATGTGGTAACATTGATAACATTCAGGGAAGCTAATTCTATCTATATTGGTTAGCTCGTTTTCATTGGCTTATATTTCAGGCTGCCATGATGGCTGAGGAGCTGAAGAAGGAGCAGGACACCAGTGCTCACCTGGAGAGGATGAAGAAGAACATGGAGGTGACTGTCAAAAACCTGCAGAGTCTGGCCATGAAGGGTGGAAAGAAACAGCTCCAGAAACTGGAGTCCAGGGTAAATTACAGGCTAAATACAGTCTTAGATATGACAGTTGTCAATAACTCTCTACTGAAGGTGTATGAGTTGGAGAGCTTGTTTTTTTCTTTCCGGTGTTTGGATGGTTGTGGATTAGAACTTGCAGAAGAGGTGTGTCTTTAAATGTATCACATGACCCCTCCCCCTCTCACACTTATCTCAATAACAGCCTCAATTATTTGAGGCATGAAGTCAGCAAAGTTTGGCAACAACACTGAAAGTTCCCCAATGCAATTGCTGCAAAGGTATTGGCTGCACATTGTGCCACTGAACCATATCCCTACTAGCAGAAATCCACTGTCCAGTGTCCCAGAGTTGATGGGACTGAACCTGCTGTGCTCTCCTGCTGGTGTAGCCCACACCCATCAAGGTTCACTGAGTTGAACTACACTGCACTAACAAATAAAATCATTTACTGCCACTTTCCACTCATCCCTTCACCTCGGATCAGTCATTAACAAGACATTTTCAACCACTGCAACAGAACGAATGCTGACTGGATGTTTTGACACTGTTCTCTGAAATCCCTCCAGACCAGTGTTAATTTCGTTGACGAATAATTTTCGTCAACGACATTTTTTTCACCGATGACAACGAGACGATAACGAACTAAATCTCTTTTTGAATGACAAAAACTATGACGTAAATCTATTGACATTTTCGTCAATGAATAAAAATGAGACGAAAATGTGTCGAAGATTTTTATTGGTCAAAATAGGAAGTGTTCGAGTGTAATCATTATGAATATAACAATTTATATATCCAGTTATTCTTCCATAATCATCACATATGCCTGTGTGGAAAATGCCTACATGGCTGAAGTATACAGACCCTCAGATTAGAAACATCTGGAAAAATACAAGTGGGCTTTCTTTCTTTACCATAACAAGACTCGGGGGGCCCTTCTCTCTAGGGAGAATTGTATGCACAAAGGAACCATTCTATGTCATTCTACGGTCTCCTTGCGCATAAACTACAAGATACTAATTCTCACTTATAAAGCTCTCCATAACCTTGGTACTACATATTTATCTGACTTACTCCTGCCTTATATTCCTGCCCGCTCCTTACAATCTTCTAGTGAGGGATTGTTAGTCACCCCTAAGTTTTGTCTGGTGACTATGGGAGCTAGGGCTTTCAGTGTTGTGGCTCCAAGATTGTGGAATACTCTTCCCCAAAACATTCGTCAAGACACTGTTCTCTGAAATCCCTCCAGACCAGGGTTAATTTCGTTGACGAATAATTTTTGTCATAATTTTCATCAACGACATTTTTTTCACCGATGACAATGAGACGATAACGAACTAAATCTCTTTTTGAATGACAAAAACTATGACGTAAATCTATTGACATTTTCGTCAATGAATAAAAATGAGACGAAAATGTGTCGAAGATTTTTATTGGTCAAAATAGGAAGTGTTCGAGTGTAATCATTATGAATATAACAATTTATATATCCAGTTATTCTTCCATAATCATCACATATGCCTGTGTGGAAAATGCCTACATGGCTGAAGTATACAGACCCTCAGATTAGAAACATCTGGAAAAATACAAGTGGGCTTTCTTTCTTTACCATAACAAGACTCGGGGGGCCCTTCTCTCTAGGGAGAATTGTATGCACAAAGGAACCATTCTATGTCATTCTACGGTCTCCTTGCGCATAAACTACAAGATACTAATTCTCACTTATAAAGCTGACGCAAGAGAGAACTCAATTCAGCCCGTTTTTCTGAGCGCAGATACTGAAGCATACACACACAGAAAGTGCGTCTCACAGCGTGCGAGTACTCTTTCGTGTTGCATGAACGGAGAATTACACACAAAATGATGTCAAATTGTCCGTTTTGACGAGTATTCACGTAAACACAGTTGATTACGTCTTAAGTGAACGTAAACAGTAGGGAGAACGTGTATCAGTACATTGCATCCCTGCATTCGGTTTTAAAGGGACAGCAGCCTAATTTAGTTGCTATTGTCCGAGTCATTGATGTTAATCAAGCAACAAAAGAAAGACAGAAAATCA